CCTTTCAGAGTTTTACTCCCTTACCTTCCTCCCGATAAAAATTTCCTCATAAACCCACACATGTGAAAGCGAGAGATGTGCTTGGGAGATGAAGAGAGGTATCCGCCAAGCCAGGGCACAGCCTGACTCCCGCCTTTGGCAATCTTCACAGAACTCTAGTCCAATGGTTGCCATCAATTTGATTTGAATTAATTTTATAATGAAATGATTTTAGAATGTTGTATTATTTTTATTGTTGTTAGCCGCCCTGAGCCCGGCTTTGGCTGGGGAGGGCAGGATATAAATAAAAATTTATCATTATTATTATTATTATTATTATTATTATTATTATTACTATTACTATTATCAAGAGGGACCAGAAAGGAATTTATGTTATTGTCTTCAGACAGTAGCATAATCAATTTATTCAGCAGGGCATAGAAAGAGGAAGAGAGAGAACTCTGGAGATGATGAATAAAGAGTAGCAGGCTTGAACACCAAACAGGTTTTCATGTTCATTTCTTATTTCCCCAAACAGATCAAAAGCAGGACAGATAAAATTATAAGAAATCATATGTGGTGTCAGCAAAAAGAAGGAAGAAAAAGGACATCTAGAAATCCAAGGATACATTTGAGGCACAAAGGAAACCAGAGAGAGAGACAGAGAGAGAGAGAAATCCTTCCATGTTGTTGATATCCACGAAATCTTGATCCCGGTGGAATATGACAAAGGGACAATAAGCAAGGGAAAGGGTCCTGGGGTGGGGAGGGGGAATATTCTAAAATAAACCAAAGTTAAATAAATATTGCGGAGCCCACATCAGGGGAGATGCAAGGAGTGCAGCAAGAGCTTGCTAAGGGAGCACTTACTGAACATCAAATAGCCGACACAGGGATGAAATCATATAGATGCTTGTGGACTTATGCTCATAGCAGAACCCGCACAGGAGAGAAGCCGCATGAATGCATGCAGTGTGGAAAGAGCTTCAGTTTCATGGGAAACCTTAGTACACATGAAAGAACCCACACGGGAGACAAACCGTATACATGCACGGAGTGTGGAAAGAGCTTCAGTCAGAGTGGACACCTTAATTTACATCAGAGAACCCACACGGGGGAGAAGCCGTATGAATGCACGCAGTGTGGAAAGAGTTTCAGTTACATTGGAAACCTTATTTCACACGAAAGAACCCACACGGGAGAAAAACCCTACATATGCACAGTGTGCGGAAAGAGGTTCAGTCAGAGTGGACACCTTACTTTACATCAGAGAACCCACACGGGGAGAAACCATACGAATGCCGTGAATGTGGAAAGAGGTTCAGTCAGAGTGGCCTCCTAACCTCACATCAGAGAACCCACACAGGGGAGAAACCATATGAATGCAAAGAGTGTGGAAAGAGATTCAGTCAGAGTGGACACCTTCGTTTACATCAGAGAACCCACACGGGGGAGAAACCATATGAATGCCACGAATGTGGAAAGAGCTTCAGTCAAAATGGACGCTTAACTTCACATCAAAGAATTCACACAGGAGAAAAACCATATCAATGCATGGAGTGTGGAAAGCGCTTCAGTCAAACTGGGCACCTTACTTCACATCAGAGAATCCATAAACGGGAGAAGCCGCACAAATGTCTGGAGTGTGGAAAGGGTTTCGTGGACAATGGAGCACTCACTAAACATCAGAGAATCCACACAGAAGAGAAACCACACACGTGTTTGGAGTGTGGAAAGAGCTTTAGTCGAAAGGCAAACTTCAGTTCTCATGAAAAAACCCACACAGGGGAGAAACCATACAAATGTCTGGAGTGTGGAAAGAGTTTTAATTCTCGTAGGAGTCTTACTTTACATCAGAAAAACAACATGGGAGAGAAACCCTGTGCATGCGCTGAGTGTGGAAAGAGCTTCAGTACAAGCTGCAAACTTACTTCACATCAAAGAACCCATACAGTGGATCAGCCATATGAAATAGCATGGAATTTGCAACAACTTGAATTAGAATGAAATGTATTGACCCACAAATGGAAAGTTCCTCTCTCCCTAGAATCAGAAAATTGTAGTGTTGGAAGGCTCCCCCAAAGGTCATCTGGTCCAATCACCTGTTATATAGCTCCATGCACTTGCAGATTCTTAGCTTCTTTTCTTTTATGTCTTGCTCTTTCCTCTCCCCCACCTTTGTTTTGTCTCATTTTGTTTTATTACAGAAAGTTACGGAATAAGAAATGCATACTAACATTTTTGCTATATGTATTATTGAAAAATTGTAATAATAAACAGGTCGGGGAGCCCAGTTTTTTCCATGATCGGTTTGACCATTATGGATTTCCCATATCTTTCCTCTTCTGCGGAAGTTCTGTCACAGTGAGGCCCTTACTATCTCTCATATAAGGAGAGAGACAGCAGAATTGATCACTCTGTGGTTAAAGCTTCTGTCCAGGCCTTATTAAGCCTATAGTCTCTTCCAGACATCTTGCTTATTCAGATTATACTGCATTCATCCGCAGTTGAAGCATGGTGGTTAGTCTGAATCTGGTGTCATTGGTAATTCATTCTGGTTTGTTTATGGGGCAGTCATATCGCTATCCTGATCTGCTGATATGCCATCAATCATTCATACCTTTCCAAATCACAAAAGGGCCATTTAAACGCCCACAAACACCTATACCCACCAGTGGTTTGTTGTGCTGTTGTGGATGTCCTGTGTTCTTCCACTTCCACGAAGAAAAAGGAGCAGGCCTAGACCACAGAGCCAGAATACCCCATTTTCTCCAGCGTAATTCAGTTCAGCGTTCAGAGAGGTGGTGAAGAACCCAGGAGCTCCCTTGACAGAAGTGTGAAGCAGTGTCTTCCAACCCCCTGGCCTTTCTCAACACAAGCCAAGCCTCAAAGCGTCTCTCTGTTGTCAACAATAAAATCTTTATAACAAACCGCTCAGCAAATTAAAGGACCAATGTGCCAATTAATATCTGTCTAGACTGAAAAGGAACTATGTGACCTGGTAGAAATCCAGATCTACCGAGTGCCAACTTTTACTCTAAGCACATCAAATATCAAAGTAAAGGATGTTTCGATGAAAACAGCTGTATGTGTAGTCTTCATAATAGAACGATTGCTTTCTTTTCATGTGTACAGATCTCCTACAAATCGGATAGCTTTCCTTTGGTCTAAAAGAGATATTTCCCCCTGGCAATTGTGAAGATGACCAACCATTTTGAATGTGTGTTGTAAAAATTTCCTCTTCAGAGGGGAGACGGGGTATAGATATTGCCACCTTTTGGGGCACCAAACTCTTGTCTTCTCTTGTTGATAGGATGAGGCCTACGCCTAGGGAATTATTTGTTTTCTTTTGTCCTAATTTGCTAGGTGGCATTTTCTGTATTAGTTTGATAAACTTACATTTTCCTCCTTTGTAATCTTGAATTGCGTTTGCTTAAGTAAAGAAACATGCTAAATAAATCAACGAAACTGCAAGCCTTCCCTGAACCCTAAATATTCTCTGTGCTGATATGGAGGGGGGAGTATAAACATACATCCCTAAATCTAATTCGGTGAGTGGCCCCTGGGTCCCGTCAAGGTATTCTTGCGGCCCACTTGGTCTGAGGGGTTGGACTGCCCTGCTTTGAATTAAAAAGCCCCCAAACGCTGCAAACTTTCCTCATAGGGGAATTGTTCCGTCTCTTTGATTATTTTGGGTCGCCTGAGCTATACTTGCACACTCATATGCAATGCAATAAAATCAACAGGCAAGCGCACAGATGCAACTTGATGCAACACGGTCAGGCTAGTGGAGTAATTAAAGAGCAATTAACAAAAAATTGATATAAAACTGGGGAAACGAGAATGTGGGGGAGGGGAATGGATTATGTAGTAAAGCTAATGGGTAAAGGGACCCCTGACCGTTAGGTCCAGTCATAGGCGCCGACTCCATGGGGCCTGAGGGGGCCCGAGCCCCCTCAAAAATTCGTTTGGGGGGGCTCTGCCCCCCCAATAATTTAAGAAAATTATTAGTTCGGCCTCATTACGCCCCCCCCCCCCGGCGATTCTCTGCCAGCCGCTTCATTCCGCTTCCACGCGCCTCGGATAGAAGGTGACGCGCGCCGCTACCTTCTGTCGCCTACGTCACTTCCCGGCTTCGTCTCCCTTCGTCCCCGCCCACTCTTGGTTCTTCGGCGCTCCTGCTCGGCCGGCAACAGCGGAGACTGCGACCCGCTCCGAACCGGCGCTCTCCAGGTGTGAAAAACCCGCGAGGGGGTCTTCCCATCCGCCGCCCGGAGCTGCGCGCAGCTTCTCTGCTGGAAGCGCGAAGTCGCCGAGGGGATGTAGCACGGGAAAAGCAGGAGGAGGAGACCGGAGGCGCCCAAAATAAAACTGTAACGGCATTCAGCACTCCGCCTCCCCGGTGGGATCCTGCACGGGCGGCCGGGCAAACGACGAGCCAAGGGAGAAAGTCTGCCTTTCAGCCCCGGCTGACTGACAGCGGGTTCAAAGCGCAGTCGCCGCTCCGGCTTTCTCTGCACCGGCCACGCCCGCCCCCCACCAGCCTAGTTGGCTCCACCCTCCCCGGGATGGGCCCCCCCAATATTTTTTATAAGTCGGCGCCCCTGGGTCCAGTCGTGGCCGACTCTGGGGTTGTGGCACTCATCTCGCTTTATTGGCCGAGGGAGCCGGCGTACAGCTTCCAGGTCATGTGGCCAGCATGACTAAGCCGCTTCTGGCGAACCAGAGCAGCTCACGGAAACGCCGTTTACCTTCCTGCCGGAGCGGTACCTATTTATCTACTTGCACTTTGACGTGCTTTCGAACTGCTAGGTTGGCAGGAGCAGGGACAGAGCAACGGGAGCTAGACCACAGCGCCACCCACATCCCAGATTATGTAGTAGAAAAGAGTTATTAAAATGAACCATGGATGGGGGGGGGGAGAGGGAAGTCGATGATAACTTTGATAACAAAATATACATTTATCTGTTTAAATTTGTAAAAAAAGGAAAAGGAAATGATATGTGTGGAAGAAAGAGAGACTGGCACGCCAGGAGTTGGTGCAACCCCAGACCATTGGTTTTTCCCCTCCCGGGAAAAACTGCATTTTGCTTGCCACTCAAACGCAATTTGCGCCCTCCTGGGAGCCACGTGGGGTGACGCGGGCGTTCCAAGCTCCATTCACAAAAAGCAGGAAGGCGCGCGGGGGCGTGAGCGGCAAGGAAGAAGTGTTGCCGTTCCCTCTGCAGCCTCTCTAGGCGCCTGGACTCGATCTCTTTAACCCCGAGATGCACTTTCCCGTAGCAAGAAAAGCGTGGGGGGGCGGGGGAGGGTACAGCCCCCCCCTTCTCCAAGTCCACTTTGCAAGAGCAAGAAGAGAAGAAGTGGATCTCTCCCCGGATCCAGCAACGCCTCTCCCTGGTTGATTCCCTTCCTCCGTCTGATCTCTCCCTGTGCAAAGACCTCCCCCGCCCAAAAAAGCCAGACTCGCTAAGGGTGAAATCCCACCCACCCAAACACTCCCCCCCCCGCATTTCAGGGAGAGTCACATCCTGCTGCATTTGGGTCTGGAGGGGTGAGTGGAATTTGTGGGGCGGGGGGGGGAGGTGATGCCTTCCCGCGGGCAGGATGGGGAGTGGGCGTGTGTGTGTGTGTTGTGTGTTGCGGACTCCGGGCATCGGAATCAAGAGTTGCCCGCGTTGGGCTGGCAGCGACTTTCCAAAGCTCCGGAGGAAGGACATTCCCAGCCCTACCTACAGACGCCGCATGTAGGGATTGAACCCGGGACCGTCTGCATGCGAGGCAGACGCCCTGCCACTGAGCTATGCTCCTTAGCATGGACGTAGGGCATCAGAGAATTGCAGAGTTGCAAAGGAGCACGAGGGACATCCTAGCCTAGGCTCCTGCAGTGCAGGAATCTTTTGCCCGATGTGGGTCTGGAAGCCACGACCCTGAGAGTCTCGTGCTCTACAAATATGTTTTGGGAGGGTGGTTTATTGGTTTGTTTTTTGTTCCCACTGACTGAGCTAAAGAGAGAGAGCGAGAGAGAGAGAGTGCTGTCCACAGCTACCAGTTTGGGAGCATCTCTTGGAAGACCTTTGTATGCCAACAGTCCTATGCAGGTTTCTAGAATGTCCCCAGTAGCCAGTCATTTTAATGATTTCTTCATACAGTGGTACCTCGAGTTACAGGCGCTTCAGGTTACAGATGCTTCAGGTTACAGACTCTGCTAACCCAGAAATAGTACCTCGGGTTAAGAACTTTGCTTCAGGATGACAACAGAAATCGTTGTCTGGCAGCGCAGCAGCAGCGGGAGGCCCCATTAGGTAAAGTGGTGCTTCAGGTTAAGAACAGTTTCAGGTTAAGAACGGACCTCCAGAACAAATTCAGTTCTTAACCCCAGGTACTGCTTTTTAATGTTGCTGTGTGGTTCTGATGTTTAGCAAGAGAAAAGTGTCAGCTTTTAAGTTATAAAGGACTCTTTGTCTGGATTATATATAGTTACAGATAGGTAGCCGTGTTGGTCTGCCATAGTCAAAACAAAAAAAATCCTTCCAGTAGCACCTTAAAGACCAACTAAGTTAGTTCTTGGTATGAGCTTTCGTGTGCATGCACACTTCTTCAGATACACTGAAACAGAAGTTGCCAGATCCTTCTATATAGTGAGAAGGTGGGGAAGGGTATTACTCAGAAGGGTGGTGGGAATGGGTAATTGGCAGATAGCTGTGATGAGCCTGTTGACGACTCTTAACGACTGCAATAGGTCTTACAGGAAAAAGTAAGGGGTGAGAAGGATCTGGCAACTTCTGTTTATATAGAAGGATCTGGCAACTTCTGTTTCAGTGTATCTGAAGAAGTGTGCATGCACACGAAAGCTCATACCAAGAACTAACTTAGTTGGTCTTTAAGGTGCTACTGGTAGGAATTTTTTTTGTTTTGACTATGGCAGACCAACACGGCTACCTATCTGTAACTGGAAGTATGGAAGGCACCACATTGAGCCGCATGAATTGGATTATATATATACAGTGGTACCTCTGGTTGCAAACGGGATCCGTTCTGGACGCCCGTTTGCAACATGAAAAGAGCACAACCCGCAGCGGCGCAGCGGCGCACATGCAGGTTGCGATACGGCGCTTCTGTGCATGCACGTGACGTCATTTTGTGCTTTTGCGCATGCGCCGAAACCCGGTAGTAACCCTTTCCAATCCTTCTGGGTTGCCGCGGGACGTAACCTGAAGTATGACTGTATACACACACACACACACACACACACAGTGACAACAAGAGATAGGGGACAGTCATAGAATCATAGTGTTAAAAGGAACCCTGTCCGTCATCTATTCCAACCCCCTGCAATGCAGGAATACGCAGCTGTCCCATATGGGGATCGAACCTGCAACCTTGGCGTTATCAGCACCACACTCTAACCAACGGAGCTACGTCCAGGGGAAAGAGAGACAGGGGAAGAATGTTTCTGAATGAGGATTGGTGATCGCTGGTTCTTCCTGTTTGTTTCTGGAGGGGAGATTTTCTTTCCTGCAGGGCAATGCTCGGATTGACAGCTGGAAACATTCAGCTTGCTTGGAAGCTGTATGTTAACGTCCTTCCTTAAACTTGTGGGAGTAAGCACGAGGCCTCTCCCTACAGGTCCGAGATGGATCTTTCGGGCACAGCAGGAGACAGAGCAGGAGGAGACCCTGGTGCCACCAAGACTGGGAGCAGCGGAGGATTCTGGGAAGGAACGGTGAAGAAGATCCTAAGTTCGGGAGAAGCCGGCACAGACGTTCGGCGCCAGCGGTTCAGGGAGTTTGGCTACCAGGAGGCTGAGGGGCCCAGAGACTTTTGCAGCTGACTCCACAGTCTCTGCCGTCAGTGGCTGAAGCCAGAAAGGCTCACCAAGGCCCAGATCCTGGACCTGGTGGTCTTGGAGCAGTTCCTGGCTGTCCTCCCCCCAGAGAGGGAGAGCTGGGTCAGGGAGTGCGGAGTGGAGACCAGTTCGCAGGCGGTGGCCTTGGCAGAAGGCTTCCTCCTGAGCCAGGCAGAAGAGAGGAGACAGGAAGAGACAGGTGAGAGGGTTATCCCCACCCCAATCATCCAGGCAGTTCCAAGGCACTGAGAAGGCAGCCGTGGTTCTGAATACCAGTTTCTGGAAACTGCAGCAGAGGAGAGTGTTCTTGCGCTGCTTCGGTCTAGCTTGCTGGTTTCCCACTGTAGAATAGGAAGGGACCTCCCACACTTATTCTCGTCCAGCAGTTCTCAACCTGTGGGTCCCCAGATGTTGTTGGACTACAACTCCCATCATCTCTGAGCTCTGGCCTTGCTAGCTAGGGGTGATGGGAGTTGTAGTTCAACAACATCTGGGGACCCACAGGTTGAGAAAGGCTGATTTCTAGTCCAACCCCCTGCAATGCAGGAATCTCAGCTAAAGCATCCATGACAGTTGGCCACCCAACCTCTGCTTAAAAACCTCCAAGGAAGGAGAGTCCACAAGCTCCCGAGGGAAACCGTTCTACCGTTGAACAGCTCTTAACTGTCAGAATTTCCCCCCGTAGATTTAGTCAGAATCTCACTTTTTGTAACTTGAAGCCATGGGTTTCAGTCCTACCCTCCAGAGCAGGAGAAAACCAGATTGTTCCCTGCATGTGACAGCCCTTGAGATATTTGAAGATGGCTATCGTATCTCCTCTTTTCCAGGCTAAATATACCCAGCTCCTTCAACCAGTGCAGATGGTGAAGGTCCTGTGTGAGTGTCTGGAGGCGGTTGGAGGATGGATGGTGGCTATCAGATTGAGGTTGAATCCTGACAAGACAGAAGTACTGTTTTGGGGGGAAAGGAGGCGGGCGGGTGTGGAGGACTCCCTGGTCCTGAATGGGGTAACTGTTAGGAAATCAAGCCTTTATCAGGAGAAACTGGCCACTCTCCAGGAACCCGGCTTGATCTCCTGGTGACCTCCCCGTCCGCATTCCCGAGCAGGATATAGGCGAGGTCGCGAATGGCGATCCTCCTCAAGCATGAGAAGAACACACCACTCTTCCCTGCCCTCCCCAGGCAGGGGGAAAAGATAGACAGAAATGTATTTACATGCCTTTATTTCTGTCTTTGCAGCATTATAGAAAAACACGTCTGCTCTCTTCAAACTCCAACAGCAGAGAGACACAAACCCCACCTCCTGTACTTCCTGTACAGCTCATGTTACACTCTGAGCTAAATCCGGTGCTCAGCACTGTGAATAGACTGTCCCTCTGTTTCCCACGGAACAGTCCCAACATTCCCATTATGTTTTGCTTTCATGCTAGCAGCTGCTCGCGGCCGCATTGCTTCTATATCGTAACAGTAACTGCCCCTGAAGGACCAGGTGCGCAGCCTGGGAGTCATTCTGGACTCACAGCTGTCCATGGAGGCTCAGGTCCATTCTGTGTCCAGGGCAGCTGTCTACCAGCTCCATCTGGTACGTAGGCTGAGACCCTATCTGCCTGTGGACTGCCTCGCCAGAGTGGTGCATGCTCTGGTTATCTCCCGCTTGGACTACTGCAATGCGCTCTATGTGGGGTACCTTTGAAGGTAACCCGGAAACTACAACTAATCCAGAATGCGGCAGCTAGACTGGTGACTGGGGGCGGCTGCCAAGACCACATAACACTGGTCTTGAAAGACCTACATTGGCTCCCAGTACATTTCCAAGCACAATTCAAAGTGTTGGTGCTGACCTTTAAAGCCATAAATGGCCTCTGTCCAGTATATCTGAAGGAGCGTCTCCACCCCCATCATTCTGCCTGGACACTGAGGTCCAGCACCGAGGGCCTTCTGGCAGTTCCCTCACTGCGAGAAGCCAAGTTCCAGGGAACCAGACAGAGGGCCTTTTCGGTAGTGGCGCCCACCCTGTGGAACGCCCTCCCACCAGATGTCAAAGAGAACTACCACCACCAGACTTTTAGAAGACATCTGAAGGCAGCCCTCTTTAGGGAAGCTTTTAATGTTTGATGCATTACTGCATTTTAATATTTTGTTGGAAGCCGCCCAGAGTGGCTGGGGAAGCCCAGCCAGATGGTATAAATAATGAATTATTATTATTATTATTATTATTATTATTATTATTATTATTAACAATTCCTCATAAGGCTTGATGTGCCGTTGGCCTGATCCAGCATGCCCTTATGTTCTTAATACAGGTATAGATTGGTTATTTGTCCTTCACCTGGAAGTCCCAGCGCGGGAATACACACAATCTTTAAATGGGATTAAGCCTTAACAGCATTTACTAGAGCCACGAAGAAGGTCCTCTTTCCGCCTCACAGCTCCACTGGTTTCTGCAGTAGAGTTTTGCCAGAAGACTTGAGGGAGGAGGGTGAGAATCCATTGCTTGGTTTGCCCTGTCCTTCCTTTTTTTTTTTTTTTAAAAAAAAAGATATTTTATTGAAATTTTCGCCTTATTACATTAAAAAAGAAAAAAATCAAAAAAGAAAAAAGAAAAAAGTTAAAAACACATAAAGTTTACATCCTTATTTTCAATAACATATTTCCTAGACTTCCCCACACCTCCCCTTCTTGTATTCCAATTCAAATTATTAGTTCAACAAGTTCTTGTCCCCAATTCTTAACCTTTTAAAATTTAATTCATTTTAGAAAAACCAGTTTAAACTTATAAACATCAATATTTATACATCAGTGCTCATTCTTAAAACCTTTTTCTAAAGTCGACCCAAATTCCCTTCCACGAATTCCCCAATTTTCATACCAATAGCAAAACAAAAAAACAAACAAACCAGAATATAATTGTACGCCCTTTGGATTCCCAAACCCCACCCCCACCCCTTTCCTGGTTTTGATCCCCAACAAATGTCCATCAGTCTTGGTCTGCTATCAGCCTGGAGACCTCACGTCCAAGGCTCTTAATTCTCTCTCAGTTCCTCTCTGCCGGTTTTTTTTATAGTCCTTAATGTTAAACACCAGATCTCGGAGAAGCTCTGTGCTGTCCTTCCTAACTTCGTCTCCCTCTTCCCTGTCTGGGTGCCTTGCTTCTGTTTCAGGTGCAATGCCTGTCCTTAGATGTGGCCGTTGATTCCCGCGAGTCAGAGAAGGACCCAACTGACCGTTGTGCAAAGCCCCTCTCGTGGGGCATCGCCCAGGAGGTACAAAGTCGGAATGATTCATTGGGTAAGGGAGGATCCTTTGGGCTTCAGAACTGCAGTATTTTGTGAAGTATCCGCTCTCCTCCTCCTTCTCTGTTTTCTCCCTCCGATGCCCCCTATATTTGGTATAGCGCTTAATTCCATGGCCATCTCTAAGCAGCTTGCAATGAAACTGGGAAACGACAACAGGTCTTATACAGGGGAGATCGTTATTCCAGTTTGTAATGGCATCAGATTTGAAATTGTTTTTACATATGAAAGCATTTTTAAATGTGTGTGTGTGTTTTTAAAGAAGTTTCTCATAATTATTTTTATATGTGAAGCTGTGCAATTTTATTTTCTGTTTTAGAAATTGAATTTTGGTGCAACTTAACGACAACTTAAAATACATAAAGTATAACTTGAGAACAAATTAAAAACCCAAAATCCACAAGTGCTTTCCTATTATTGCAGCTGTTGCGAAGCTGTGTGATATTGTCATCTTTTTACTATTTTTTGATGGGGTGGGGTTGTTGTTACTAATTTACTGTGAAGTGGCTTTTGAGATACGTTATAGGAAGTTTCATACATGGAATCAAATAAATAGTTGGAATTAAAATTAACAACGACACCCCCACAAAGCAAAGCATAGTAGCACACCCTGAATATTATTATTGTTAATTGTAATAATAGTAGTGTTTCTTGGTCGCTCTACTCATGAAATAATAATGCAAAGCAACTTTCCAGCATGGTAGAAATGCTAAAAGCAATTACATTAATAGCAATCAATATAAAACTGAAAAGCGCACACATCAATACAAAATAAAATACAGGTCTTACAGTTTCTGCCCCACTGAAAGAAGCCTGAAAACCCTCTAAATGAAGGCCTTAAAGCCAAAGTAAAATATGGCACCAGCTATACCCAAGGCTGTCCTTGAGGTGTTGTGGTCTTGAGCCACAGCACAAGTCTTTATAGGTCAAAACCAGCCCAGAAACTAATGCAGTCGGGCCAGGATTGGTGCCATGCGCTCCTGCTGTTTGGCCCGCTCTCACTCAGATAAATTGCCCCCACCTCACTGAACAACCCTTTACCCCAAGGTTTATTTCCCTTTCCCCTTAAAATTCTAGCCCAGAATATCCTGCTCCCAGGGACCTTTGTGAGGGGGTAGCTAGTAAGTTGGAGTCTCAGACAGGTTTTCTTTAAATAAGCATTAAAGATCTATTTAAGGCAAGATAGTAAATAAACACAAATGGACTCAACTCAGGTTACTTCAGGAATACAGGGCAGTTTCACATTCTTTTATTTAAATTAATATTTTTTTATTGATTTTTTTTCAGTAAAAAGACAACAAAAAGAGCAAAAAACGATACATAGCACTGTAAACACCCTTATATACATATTTTCCAAAATGAAAACTAATAAGAGAAAAAGAAGAAAAGTTATAAGAAAGCAGACAGAAGAAGAAAAAGGAAAATATTAACAAATTCTTGCTTCAAACACTACAGTATATAATCTTAGTTAAAATATTTTAAGACTTCCACCGCATTCACCGCATGTCTCTTAGTTATCTTGCTCGCATTTACATCTGTTCTTGAGTCATTTCCCTTTCTTAAATTCTTTCATAATCAATCAAATCTTTATGTTCTCTGTATTCTTCACAAGGTTAGTCTAGACACAACCAAACTTTCGTATTTGAGCCCTGCTTGTATAAATAATAATTTAAACATTTCTATTGTTTCTGAATTATAATTTTTGATTTATGCCTTATTAAATCCGTCAATTTTGCTAACTCCAGGTACTCACAAAGTTTACTTATCCATTCCCCCTTTGTTGGGATATAATTTCCTTTCCAATGATTGGCTACCAACATTCTCGCTGCCGTTGTTGCATACAGAAATATGTTAATTTTGTCATTGGGAATGTCCTTATTCAAAATTCCTAATAGATATGCTTCTGCCCTTTTGGTATAAGTGCGATTTCACTTTAATTCATTCTCAGTCGTTTTTACCTTAAAGGTTTGGTCCCTTTATACGGTGATAGTTTCAGTTATCCACCCTCTTTAACAATCCTGCTCCTGAGGTACTTAAGTAATAGACCCAAGGGCTCTCTCCACACACACACACACACACACACACACACACACACCCTTCATTGGGTTTGGGAGTTGCCTCTTTTCCTTAGAAGAATCTCTCCTCTCCAGACTAGATTTAAATCCCGAGTAGGCTGTTCCTTTCCAGCTCCTACTTCTCTTGCCTCAACCTCTGCCTCCCTGTAAAATTCTGGTCTGTTCCACCTACAGGACACCACACTCTGTCCTTCACAATATGCTCAGAGTGGAAGTTGTTTTTCCAGAACCAACTCTTCCTCCCATTTACTCTTTATACCTCAACCTGCCCCCTAACTTGTCTCCTTACCTATCTCCCAGCCTCTCCAACCTCAATTCCAGCCCACCTCAACCAACCCTCTCAATATAGGTAGGTAGCCGTGTTGGTCTGCCGTAGTCGAAACAAAATAATTTTTTTCCCCAGTTGCACCTTAAGGTAAAGGTAAAGGTACCCCTGCCCATACGGGCCAGTCTTGCCAGACTCTGGGGTTGTGCGCCCATCTCACTCAAGAGGCCGGGGGCCAGCGCTGTCCGGAGACACTTCCGGGTCACGTGGCCAGCGTGACAAGCTGCATCTGGCGAGCCAGCGCAGCACACAGAACGCCGTTTACCTTCCCGCTAGTAAGCGGTCCCTTTTTATCTACTTGCACCCGGGGGTGCTTTCGAACTGCTAGGTTGGCAGGCGCTGGGACTGAACAACGGGATCGCACCCCGCCACGGGGATTCGAACCGCTGACCTTTTGATCAGCAAGCCCTAGGCGCTGAGGCTTTTACCCACAGCGCCACCCGCGTCTAAGTTGCACCTTAGAGACCAACTAAGTTTGTTATTGGTATGAGCTTTCTGAAGAAGTGTGCGTGCACACGAAAGCTCATCCCAATAACAAACTTAGTTGGTCTCTAAGGTGCTTGTTGTTGTTTAGTCGTTTAGTCGTGTCTGACTCTTCGTGACCCCCTGGACCAGAGCACGCCAGGCACTCCTGTCTTCCACTGCCTCCCCCAGTTTGGTCAAACTCATGCTGGTAGCTTCGAGAACACTGTCCCACCATCTCTCCTCTGTCATCCGCTTCTCCTTGCGCCCTCCATCTTTCCCACCATCAGGGTCTTTTCCAGGGAGTCTTCTCTTCTCATGAGGTGGCCAAAGTATTGTAGCCTCAGCTTCAGGATCTGTCCTTCCAGTGAGCACTCAGGGCTGATTTCCTTCAGAATTGAGAGGTCTGATCTTCTTGCAGTCCATGGGACTCTCAAGAGTCTCCTCCAGCACCATAATTCAAAAGCATCCATTCTTCGGCGACCAGCCTTCTTTATGGAATTTTTAAATTTTGTTTCAACCTCCTCAACTAACTGCCTCTTCTCAAATCCTCTCCTTTTAAACTCTCCCTCCTGGAACCACGGCCAATCAGAGGCTGCCATTTGTTAACTATTTGCTGGCAGGGGAAAAAATAAATGCTTGTTGCATCCAACCTGTCCAGCAAAACCAACTTTTTCATCACATGTGCTCAGGCCGTCTTTCCCTAGCGAGTGCCTGTGTTTTGTGCCCAGCCTCTCCCAGAGTCCCAGCCTGCTTTCAACGTTCTGTTTCTGCCACCTCGCAGGGCCCCAAGGGATGTCCTGCTTGCCCCTGGAAATGCCCCGTTTTTGTGGTGGTGTGGAAGTGGCAGATGTACAGCCAGCTCAGGTAGGGTGTGGCAAGGCTACGCAAAGAAGGTATAACAGGTATACCCTTGTGCCTCATATGCTGTCATGTATCTTAAAAATGCTTAATGCTAAAAGTGCCTAAATGCTAAGAATCAAATGCCGTCTCTCTTTTGCTGCTGTGCTTGCAGAAAACAGAAATATATTTAGCTGCGTTTGCAATCTGTAAGGAACGTTCCTCATGCTCATGAGATGGTCACCATGACCTGACAAAGCAGGATGTCTGAAGTTGGGTACTTTCCATCTTACGCAGATGTCTGCAAACTGGTTGAGAGCCAGTGTGGTGTAGTGGTTAAGAGCGGTAGGCTTGTAATCTGGGGAACCAGGTTTGCGTCTCCGTTCCTCCACAAGCAGCTGCTGGGTGACCTTGGGCCAGTCACACTTCTCTGAAGTCTCTCAGCCCCACTCACCTCACAGAGTGTTTGTTGTGGGGGAGGAAGGGAAAGGAGAATGTTAGCCACTTTGAGACTCCTTCTTCTTCTTCTTGATAACAAAAGGGGGGATTTTGGCTTTGCCTGCCAAAAGGGGATTTTTTTCCGCTTGCTCGCTGATAATAAGGTAGAAGCAATTAGTAATATCCTGAGTACATATATGGAAAAAAGCAGAAGTGATCTGTAAATGGACATAGGAGGATTTAGGAAGCGTTGTGTCCAAGCTCATTGGTTTGATTTTGCTGCAATTTATGAATATGTAATGTTTAATGCTGTTTGGAAAAAGGGATATACAGTGGTACCTTGGGTTACAGACGCTTCAGGATACAGACTCCGCTAACCTAGAAATATTACCTCGGGTTAATAACTTTGCTTCAGGATGAGAACAGAAATCTTGCTCTGGCGGCGCAGCAGCAGCGGGAGGCCCCATTAGCTAAAGTGGTCCTTCAGGTTAAGAACAGTTTCAGGTTAAGAACAGACCTCCAGAACAAATTAAGTTCTTAACCCGTGGTACCACTGTAAACCCAAAGTACCAGAGCTCCACACCCAGTCTTTGGAAACCAATTTCCGCTGGGTCAAATTGCTGTCAGCAATAAATCTTACTTTCTTTTTCTTCATTGCTGTGTTTGTGATTTTTGAGCACACCTTGAAGGTATCAAGTATTTATCTAACCCTTTGCAACAAGGGAAATAACTGTTTAAGGACATGGGGGGCACACGGGGGGCGTTTTGCCTGTGTTATGAGCCCCCCAAGCATAACCCAGTATTTCTCATATGAAGGGCTGCATAGAATGTAGAACCGTAGGCACAAATACCTGTTGGAAATGTAAAGAAAAAGAAGGGACCTTTTATCATATGTGGTGGAAGTGTAAGATAATAAAAGCATTCTGGGAAATGATATACAATGAACTGGAAAAAATGTTTAAAATAACTTTTACCAAAATAAAAACCCAGAGGCTTTTCTATTAGGAATTGTAGGTGCTGAAATTCCAAGGGAGCAGAAAAGACTTTTTAGTATGTGTGACGACAGCTGTGCAGATGTTGTTAGCCCAGAGATGGAAAGAAGATAAAGTCCCTACCAGAGTAGAATGGCAAATTAAGTTGATGGGTTATGCTGAAATAGCAAAACTGACTGGAAAGCTCAGGAACCAGGAAGACCAAAACTTTAATAAGGAATGAGGGAAAATTATAATTTACCTTGAAGCATTTCAAAATGTTAGCGGGACTGCAATAACACTTGTAATGTAACGAGAACTATGGACACAACAGAGTTATATAAATTTGTATTATATAAAAAAAAGATGCAGTAGAAAAGGTTTAACAACAGAACCCATGGAGGGGAAAGTCCAGAGATTCATGGGAGCCGTATAACTTTGGATGTGTTGTAGAGTTGGCAGGCACCCCCAAAGGTCATCTAGTTCAATCCCATGCAATGCAGGAATTTCAACTAAATTGAAAGATGGCCACCCATCTCCTGAGGGAGTCCGTTCCTTGGGATCCTCTGTTCCTACGGGATGTCTGCTTCCCCTTCCAGGATCTGGTGACCTTCGAGGATGTGGCCATGTATTTCAGCAACAAGGAGTGGGCCCTACTCAGCACACGGCAGAAATCCCTGCACAGAGAAGTCACCTTGGAGAACTCTTGGAATGTGGCCTCTCTGGGTAAGAATGGATCCCCTCTGCGCTCTGACTTGAGGTAGTTCAGCAAGACTTGGACTCCTCTTGACCTGTATCCTTGTGGGAGAAATTCCTCTGGGGGGGTCAAGGATGGAGACTCACACCAAATTCCCCATCGGTCAGACTTTATTCAGGCATTTCCCCCCACGGATAACTTGTTCCGGCACATATCCCTTGTTGTTTATCCGGTGTTTTAAGGGCTCAGGAGGGGATGTATTTGACTCCTCCTTGCGCTCACATGCAGCCTCCCTGGACGTGTGCATGTTCTTGTGGTTGAAGCGGTTCTTAAAACCGTGAAGCCAACCGGTGCTGGCTTTGAATTCCTTTGCTGGCTGTGGAAGGTATGAAGCTTGCTTAGAGAGGGAGAGAGCCTTTCGGTGCAAGCAAAGTCCTTTTGGTGCAAGCGCATGTTTCTGGGTGGGAGCGCATGTTCCCTGCTTTTTAGCTTTCCCGCCAGTTGCGGAGTGGCCGTGCTCTCAGACAGAACCATCTCCAAATTTCCCCCTGCATCTTTCAAATTTGTTTGCTTATTTTTCAGTCGCTTGTGCAAATAAAGTGAGGGTAAATTGTGGGTTTGCTGTATTTCTTAAGGATCCTCTTTATTTCTGTGATTGTGAGTTGTTTTAAACTTTTTTAATGTTTTAATTTCTGTAACCTACCATGGTACCTTTGGGTGAAGGGCAGGGTAAAAATAATAATGATGATGATGATGATGTTCTTTTCTCCTGCTGTGCTCTTACCAGGTTTCTCTGTCTGATTTCAGCAGGTGATGGGGGGGATGAGAAACATGGATACCAATATGCCAGGCCAGTAGGGGGAAGCAAGATTCAGGAGATGGAAGAGAACTTCAGGACTCCAGGAGGAGAGAATAAGCAGAAGAAAAACCCAGCAGAGGAAGGCAAGAAGACATATTGGCCAGGGATTAACCTCCACGAAGTTCCAGTTCAGGAACACAATCCCAAGGGAAAGAAAAGGAATATCTGCCCCGTGTGTGGGAAACACTTCAGCTACAAATCAGATCTCAGTGTTCATAGGAGAATCCACACAAGTCTGAAGCAACACAGATGTTTGGAGTGCGGGGTGAGCTTTAGGCAGAGCGCACACCTCGCTACTCATCAGACAATCCACACGGGCGAAAAGCCATATCAGTGCTCATTGTGCGGAAAGAGCTTTCGGCAGCGTGCCAACTTCACATCACATCAGAGAACCCACACGGGAGAGAGGCCGTATCACTGCTCCAAGTGCGGGAAGAGCTTCAGTCGGAACACAAGCCTCACTGCCCACCTAAGGAAACACACGGGAGAGAAACCCTACAGCTGTTCCGTGTGCCGCCGGAACTTTTGCGACAAGTCGGGCCTGAACCTGCACCAGTTAATTCATTCAAAGGACAAGCCTCATAAATGCCTGGTGTGCGGCAAGAGCTTCATTCGGCGCTCGCAGCTGACCTCCCACGAAGGGATCCACACAGGGGAGAAACCGTATCGGTGCTCAGTGTGCGGGAAGAGCTTCCATCGGACGTCCAACCTGAAGTCGCACCAGAGGATTCACGCAGGAGACAAACCCTACAATTGCTTGGAATGCAGCAGGAGCTGTTATGAAAAATCGCGCCTTCTCACACACCAGAGAATGCACATGGGGGAAAAGCCGTATCAGTGCCCCGAGTGCAGGAAGAGGTTTCACAATAAGTATAAGCTAAAGAGCCATCAAAGGAACCACGGGGGGGGGGGAGAGAAGCCGGTCACGTCGTGGCGTGTTGAAATGGCTTCCGACGGTGCCCCCGTCTTGCATGCTCTCAGAGAGCATCTAGATCAAGGGAAGTAATAGTGCCACTGTATTCTGCTCTGGTCAGACCTCACCTGGAGTACTGTGTCCAGTTCTGGGCACCACAGTTCAAGAAGGACACTGACAAACTGGAACGTGTCCAGAGGAGGGCAACCAAAATGGTCAAAGGCCTGGAAACGATGCCTTATGAGGAACGGCTAAGGGAGCTGGGCATGTTTAGCCTGGAGAAGAGGAGGTTAAGGGGTGATATGATAGCCATGTTCAAATATATAAAAGGATGTCACATAGAGGAGGGAGAAAGGTTGTTTTCTGCTGCTCCAGAGAAGCAGACACGGAGCAATGGATCCAAACTACAAGAAAGAAGATTCCACCTAAACATTAGGAAGAACTTCCTGACAGTAAGAGCTGTTCGACAGTGGAATTTGCTGCCAAGGAGTGTGGTGGAGTCTCCTTCTTTGGAGGTCTTTAAGCAGAGGCTTGGAACTACAAACTAAGGGCATTTGCAGATGATCTTGTATTGACCTTGCAACAGCCAGATACTAGTACTAAAAGAGTACTAGAACTAATTGAGATATTTGGTCAAGTAGCAGGATTTAAATTGAACAAGCAGAAAACTAAAGTGTTGGAGAAAAATTTAACAATGGCAGAAAAAGAGAAATTTCAGAGGGAAACAGGTTTAGAAATAACAAAAAAAGTGAAGTATCTGGGTGTGAACTTGACTTCTAAAAATGTGAATTTATTTAAAGACAATTATGACAAATGCTGGATAGAGGTGAAGAAAGATCTAGAAATATGGTCACGGTTGAGACTTTCCTTGTTAGGCCGAATTGCTGTCATCAAGATGAATGTATTGCCTAGAATGTTGTTTTTGTTTCAGACACTTCAGATCTTAGATAAAATGGACTGTTTCAAGAAGTGGCAAAAAGACATATCAAAATTTGTCTGGCAGGGCAAAAAGCCCAGAATAAACTTTAAGATCTTAACTGATGCAAAAGAAAGAGGGGGGTTTGCCCTGCCGGACCTGAGACTCTACTATGAATCGGCAGCGTTTTGCTGGCTGAAACAATGGCTGCTTCTTGAGAACACAGACATTTTGGATCTGGAAGGTTATGACAATAGATTCGGTTGGCATGCATATATATGGTATGACAAGGTAAAAATACATAAAGGTTTTAAAAACCATATTGTTAGGAAAGCACTATATAATGTTTGGATAAGATATAAAGATCTATTGGAAAGTAAAACTCCCAGGTGGCTATCACCAATGGAAGCTAAAGAGACGAAAAAACTTAATATGGAGTCCAAATGGCCAAAATACGGTGAAATCTTAGAGCAAGATGGTGAAAGGGTCAAATTACAGAGTTATGATAAACTAAAGTCTAAAGTACGAGATTGGTTGCATTACCTTCAGATAAACGAGGTATTCAAACAGGACAGGAAAATAGGTTTTCAGACGGAGAGGTCGAAATTAGAAACAGAATTGTTAGAACCCAATACTAAGAACTTGTCAAGAATGTATAATTTGCTGCTGAAATGGAACACACAAGATGAAACAGTAAAATCAGCTATGATTAAATGGGCACAAGACATAGGTCATAACATTATGTTTGAAGACTGGGAAAGGCTGTGGAATACTGGTGTTAGATTTACGGCCTGTAATGTTTTGAGAGAAAATATAATGAAAATGATTTATAGATGGTATATGACCCCAGTCAAACTTGCAAAAATTTACCACTTGCCCAATAATAAATGTTGGAAATGTAATGAAACTGAAGGTACTTTCTATCACCTTTGGTGGACCTGCCCGAGGATTAAGGCCTACTGGGAAATGATTTATAATGAAATCAAAAAGGTCCTTAAATGGACATTTTCTAAAAAACCAGAGGCTTTTCTCCTGGGCATGGTGGGCCAATTGGTGCCAAGGAAGGACAGAACTTTCTTTATGTATGCTACCACAGCAGCAAGGATTCTTCTGGCGAAGTATTGGAAGACGCAGCAGCTACCCACTCTGGAAGAATGGCAAGCGAAGGTGATTGACTACATGGGAATGGCTGAGATGACCGGCAGAATCCGTGACCAGGGGAAAGAGACAGTGGAAGAAGATTGGAAGAAATTTAAAGTATACCTTAAAAATTGTTGTAAAATTGAAGAGTGCTGAGATGTTATGGTGTTAAGAAATAGAGAATTGCAGCTGTATATCATAAATTTAAGGGAGCTATAATGAAGATGAATTAATAATGAAATGAAGGGTTGCTGTTAAAAGGGAAAAATAAGGATGCAGAAAAAGGGAGGTATGGGGAAGTCCGGGAAACAAGGTGAAGGAGAACGAGTCTATGAAATTGTACATGTTTATTTGTGTGTATGTTTTGTTTTGTTTTGTTGTTTGTTTTTACTATATGTCTGGAAAACTAATAAAAAAATTTATAAAAAAAAAAAATAAGCAGAGGCTTGACAACCATATGTCAGGAGTGCTCTGATGGTGTTTCCTGCTTGGCAGGGGGTTGGACTTGATGGCCCTTGTGGTCTCTTCCAACTCTATGATTCTATTCTATGATTCTATGAATTGACACAGGGACACCAACACATGATTTCTGAGATTGAATAGCAAAGGATTCGGCTAAGCCTTTATAAACTTTAAAGAATCCACCTTGGAGATGAACCTTTCCCTCCCTCCCAAATACTTGAGGTAGGAAATGGGTTAACAAAAATGGGTTAACAAAAAGAGTTAACAAGGACTCACTCGAACCAATGGCTTCATGTTTTAGGGAAGGAGATTCCGACTAAACATACGGAAAAACTTTCTGGCAGTAAGTGCTGTTTGACAGTAGATTCTATGATTCCAATATAGATCACTGGCATACCAATACCTTTTAAATTTTTATTTAATTTTTGTATTGGCATTAAAAATGTGCAAAAATAATGGGAAATACAAGACACACAGCTCCAGCCCCACATATGCAGCCCCATCCTTGTACCCACAGTGGCCTCAGGTTGTATATTTACATAATTGTTCCTTTTTGATCCATAAAGGACCTGTTCAGTGCTCAGGAAACTGCTTTATTCTAGGGTTGTTTGACGTGTGAAACATAGTTCAGATTGAAATAAAACCCTACTATACACCAGACAAATTCACATATAAATGTATGGCGTGTGAAAAGGGGTTTAGTCAAAGTCGATCACTTAAGAGTACATCAATGAACTCACACGGGAGAGAAACAAATTGAATGTGTGGAATGTGAAGTCAAGCCTTAGTTCACATGAGCAAACTCACACAGGGTATAAACCATTTAAATGTATGGAGAGTTTGTTAGAAGGCACAGCTTACTTTGCATCAACAAACTCACACAGGGAGAGACTTTCACTGATAACAGAACCCGTGCAAAACATCAACAAACGGGGAAACCCATTTAAATGTATGGAGTTTGGAAAGTATTTCGCTCAGGGTTCACTACTTCACATCAAAAAACTCAAAGGGTAAAAGCAATTTTAAATGTACGGAGTGCATACAATGTAGTGGTGTTCATATGTAAATTTGTTTAGCTACCGTATTTTTCGCTCTATAAGACACACTTTCCCCCTCCTAAAAAGGGGAAATGTGTGTGCGTGTAGGGATATCGCGGAGTGGTGAGTGGGGTCCGGAGGGAGCACACTTCTCCGCCAGCAGGCAGCCACAGTCTGCCTGCACGCATGACCCTGTCTCGAACATTGTTCCCTCTGTCTGACCTTTTGCGGTCTCAGCAGTCTGCAGTGTCCTGTCTGTAACCTTTGTCCCTGAGACCTTTTGTCTCTTTCGTCATACACTGTGCAAGGGGAAAATGACGCTGTGGAAACAGGTGCCCAAATAACTTTGTACCAGCCCACGATCTCGGGACTGGAAGATGTGTAAAGGTCACAGGCCAAAATGTATCTGCCTGGCTTGCATATTTGTCTCAATAAAAAGGAGGCTCCACAGGCTAGCCGGCAGCTCGCTTCAGCCCACCTATGCGCAGCTCACATGATGATCAACTCCTGTCTTGGGCCTTCACTTCATGTGCGTCCTATGGAGCAAATGCAGGCTTCGCGGGCTACCCCAGAAGCCAGAACAGCGAGAGGGAGCACTGTGCAGCGCTCCCTCTCGCTGTTCTAGCTTCCAGCTTAGCCGCGCGAAGTCTTCGCAGGGGAGCGGGGAGCCTTCATCCCGCTCCCCTGCGCCGGCTTCGCACGGCAATCCATGGCTTTCGCGGGAGGTGGGGGAAGGGACAGAGCATGGCTTTCTCACTTCCCCCACCTCTTGCAAAAGCGCCCAAGAGCCACGCTCCCTTTAAAGTGCTGCGCGGAGTGTGTGTGTGTGGCTCTTGGGGGCTTTTCCCCGAGGAGGGAGAAGGGCAGCCTGTCACTGACGGGCTGCCCTTCTCCCTCCTCGGGCAAAAGCCTGCAAGCGCCACACATACGCTCCATGCGGCTCGTGAAAGGGAGCGCTGAGCAGAGCCTGGGATGCATACAGGCTCTGCTCAGCGCTCCGTTTAAATTATGTGTTTTTTTCTTGCATCCCCCCTCTAAAAACTAGGTGCGCCTTATGGTCAGGTGCATCTTATGGAGCTAAAAATATGGTATGTATTAAAGTGATGAAGGTACAGTGAGGGGGGAAAGTATTTGATTCCCAACTAAATTTGCCCCTTTGCCCTCTGACAAAGAAATGACCAATTAAATGGGCACATGATGTTGGACATAATATTATGATGGCTGACTGGGAACAGTTATGGACCACTGGTATGAAGTTTACGGCATGTAATGCCTTAAAAGAGAATTTAATGAAAATGATTTATAGGTGGTACATAACACCAGTCAAGCTTGCAAAAATTTACCATTTGCCCGATAATAAATGTTCGAAATGTAATGAAACTGAAGGTACATTCTTTCACCTTTGGTGGACATGCCCAAAGATTAAGGCATTCTGGGAGATGATCTATAATGAAATGAAGAAGGTACTTAAATATACCTTTCTGAAGAAACCAGAGGCCTTTCTCCTGGGCATGGTCGGCCAATTGGTGCCAAAGAAGGATAGAACTTTTCTTATGTATGCTACAACAGCAGCAAGAATACTTATCGCAA